AAGAAATTAAAACCTCCATTCATATTTCTGTTGTATGAGTTTCTTTTTCATTTAGGTGCGCGAGTTAAATTAGGAAGATTGTTTACAGTAGGTCTAAGTAGTCTTTGACTATTGTGACACTCTTAGCGGTTTGACTGGAAATGAAGAGATGGGAAGCAGGTTTGGGACAACGCAGAAGGGGGCTGTATCTCACTAGGCGTACACACACGCACATGCACACACACACACACACACACACACGGCTCTGTGCTGCTCAGCTCTCTCTCGTGGCTCTTGTCTCCCACCCTGGTAAGTAGGTCCTACCACTCACTCCTCCCAGCTCCTCCCTCCATTCACAAACCGGCGCTCGACCACGCCCCCACCTCCACAACTACTTTTACTGCCACTGTAGTAATTTGTTGGTTTTTAATTGATGTTTAAATACTTTTACAGGTTTTGGGGGTCTGTGGAGGATTAGTGGCTAGGCCTCAGTGCTCTCACTGCCAAGGCCCAGGTTCGAGTCCCGGCCAGGGAACCAACCCCAGCATAAGACAGTGCATTCCCAGTGCCAGTCCTAAGCCCAGATAAAATTGGGGAGGGTTGCGTCAGGAAGGGCTGAACTGCAGTAAACAGTACTACCATACTTTTTACAATAAAGTTCTAGCTGCCAGGGTTTTTATTTTAACCGTAAATTGAACAGAATTTTTTTTTTAACAATGCATAATCTAAAACGTTAATTCAGAAAGTATCAAAATGTGCAAAATAATGTGGTTAATTAGGAAGTATTGTAGAAAGGAGATGGAAAGTGGTTATCCAAACACTCCTGTCTATCTGATGTGTGCTGCTCCATATTCAGGGTTTATACTACTCAGGACTCGGTTTCTTCCTCATGGTGCGTTAGTTCCTAGTTTACACCTGCAAACTAATAAACTGGCCAACATGCTGCAATCACTTGTGAGAATTAACTTAAACTCTTAACAGTAAAATTGCATCACCTGTTACCAGTTTATTTGGCATTACAACAACCCCAGATTATTAATTATACAGATTTAACAGGTTCAGACTGTTGGCTGGAATGTATTTACTTGTGAGAGGAAAACAGTGTAATTACTTCTGAACACTAAGGTTTCACCTGAAGGTGTATTTCTACATTGTAATTATATGTGAAACCAATGAGAAAGGCTTAAGAAAGAGACACTTGAGACACGAGTGTTGAACAAAATAATTTATTGATTATTTAAAAGCAAACAACTTGCAATACAGCTATCATAAACCTACCATGACCTATACATTTATTACAGATATTAGTATATTTTATACTACAGCGGATGCTCAAATCTAAAAAGACTAATGCTGGAGAATGGGGTGAAATACTTACCACAAAGTTTACACACACACATATACAGTCAGGTCCATAAATATTGGGACATCGACACAATTCTAACATTTTTGGCTCTATACACCACCACAATG